AGTACGTTAGCAGTATTCCTCTTGTCCACCCAGTACGTTAGCAGTATTCCTCTTGTCCACCCAGTACGTTAGCAATATTCCTCTTGTCCACCCAGTACGTTAGCAATATTCCTCTTGTCCACCCAGTACGTTAGCAGTATTCCTCTTGTCCACCCAGTACGTTAGCAGTATTCCTCTTGTCCATCCAGTACGTTAGCAATATTCCTCTTGTCCACCCAGTACGTTAGCAGTATTCCTCTTGTCCACCCAGTACGTTAGCAGTATTCCTCTTGTCCACCCAGTACGTTAGCAGTATTCCTCTTGTCCACCCAGTACGTTAGCAGTATTCCTCTTGTCCACCCAGTACGTTAGCAGTATTCCTCTTGTCCACCCAGTACGTTAGCAGTGTTCTTTCTGTCCACCCAGTATATTAGCAGTATTATCCTGGTCCACCCAGTATATTAGCAATATTATCCTTGTCTACCCAGTATATTAGCAATATTATCCTTGTCCACCCAGTATATTAGCAATATTATCCTTGTCCACCCAGTATATTAGCACTGTTCTTTCTGTCCACCCAGTATTTTAGCAATATTATCCTTGTCCACTCAGTATATTAGCAATATTATCATTGTCCACCCAGTGTATTAGCAATATTATCATTGTCCACCCAGTTTATTCGCAAAATTATCCTTGTCCACCAAGATATCTGTATTATTCTATTTGTCCGCCAAGATATCTGTATTATTCTATTTGTCTACCCGGCAAATTCGCAAAATTGTCATTATCCACCCAGTATATACGCAATATTATCATAGTCCACCACGGATATCTGCATTATTCTTCTTGTTCACCAAGTTTTTTCGCAATGTTATTCTTGTACCTTGCTAGAGACGGATGTGAGTCGTGGACTATCTCTCAGTCCTCAAGAAAGAAAATAGGGGCTTTTGAGCTGAAATGCTACATAAGGATTCTCATATCTTGGACAAAGAAGAGGAATATTGACATCTTAAAAGATCTGAACATCAAGAACATTGGCTAATAAACAGCATCCTTTCTTGAAAGCTGAAAAATTTTGGTCATATCAAGCGCCACGACTGGTTCAAAAAAAATTATAGCAGAAGGCATGGTACCAGGAAGGAGGGACAGGATATAAGTGACTCCTTGAGTGTGAAAGTGCATGAGCCGGGAGAACTGACGAGACCGAGTTTCTTTCAGGCAGACTGTGATGAGAGCGACGTCCTGCACAGAACCTGCTACAGGATGATGATGATATTCTTAGACACCCAGTATTTTAGCAATAATATCCAAATCCACTCAGTATATATTATGGTCACCATACAAAGAAATTATGGACAAAGAGAAACAACACGGACCTTAGATTGAACAGCGGTGATATATGTTGCTGTTTTCCTGCTAGTTAGCAAAGCACATGAGTTCATTTCGCTTTACAGTTGAAACAATCGAGTCTATTGCATTCTATTGGTTCACAAATGGCACGGTCTGTCCTCACTGACTTTGTACGAGCACCATATCTCCAGCTACTATCCCCACAGAATCCGTTGCAAGTACACTCGTGCAGGCAATGATGTACTTGGCAAAATTAAACAGTGACCCTTAGACGGCTCAACCATTGTGTTCCCTGGGCGTCTTTTGCATCATCTCTGTGTTGTTGTTTAAGGACGCTGAAAATTCTGGTAGTCTGCTGGAATGCACACGCACGCAGGTGAGCCTGAACGAGTCTGTTTTCCTAATTTGGGTAAACATCACGTTCATTGCACGGATTTTTGTGTGTAAGTGTTCCAGTCTCACAGATTTCTGAAGTAGATTTTCCGGATGTTCAGGATCGCCTGTGCATAAGCCAGACTTACGCCAGCTGACAAATGATCCTTTAGATATCTTGTATCCCTGTTTGTTTCTACAGTAAAAGGCTGTTACGTATAGTCGCAGATTCCACCTGCCCTCCGAACTCTTTTTGGCGAAGAATATCAAAGTGCGCAGTGGGTACATGGGACCGTCTCCTTCTTGTGATCCTTGTTGCAGCAAGCAACACCAGTCAGCCACCATCAGAGGACAACACCAGTCAGCCACCATCAGAGGACAACACCAGTCAGCCACCATCAGAGGACAACACCAGTCAGCCACCATCCCATGACAACACCAGTCAGCCACCATCAGAGGACAACACCAGTCAGCCACCATCCCATGACAACACCAGTCAGCTATCATCACATGACAACACCAGTCAGCCACCATCCCATGACAACACCAGTCAGCCATCATCACATGACAACACCAGTCAGCCACCATCCCATGACAACACCAGTCAGCCATCATCACATGACAACACCAGTCAGCCATCATCACATGACAACACCAGTCAGCCATCATCACATGACAACACCAGTCAGCCACCATCCCATTACAACACCAGTCAGCCACCATCCCGTGACAACACCAGTCAGCCACCATCCCGTGACAACACCAGTCAGCCACCATCCCATGACAACACCATTCAGCCACCATCCCATGACAACACCAGTCAGCCACCATCCCGTGACAACACCAGTCAGCCACCATCCCATGACAACACCAGTCAGCCATCGTCACATGACAACACCAGTCAGCCACCATCCCATGACAACACCAGTCAGCCATCATCACATGACAACACCAGTCAGCCACCATCCCATGACAACACCAGTCAGCCATCATCACATGACAACACCAGTCAGCCACCATCCCATGACAACACCAGTCAGCCACCATCCCGTGACAACACCAGTCAGCCACTATCCCATGACAACACCAGTCAGCCACCATCCCATGACAACACCAGTCAGCCATCATCACAGGACAACACCAGTCAGCCACCATCCCGTGACAACACCAGTCAGCCACCATCCCGTGACAACATCAGTCAGCCACTATCCCGTGACAACACCAGTCAGCCACCATCCCGTGACAACACCAGTCAGCCACCATCCCATGACAACACCAGTCAGCCATCATCACAGGACAACACCAGTCAGCCACCATCCCGTGACAACACCAGTCAGCCACCATCCCGTGACAACATCAGTCAGCCACCATCCCGTGACAACACCAGTCAGCCACCATCCCGTGTCAACACCAGTCAGCCATCATCACAGGACAACACCAGTCAGCCACCATTCCATGACAACACCAGTCAGCCATCATCACAGGACAACACCAGTCAGCCACCATCCCAGGACAACATCAGTCAGCCATCATCACAGGACAACACCAGTCAGCCATCATCACAGGACAACACCAGTCAGCCATCATCACAGGACAACACCAGTCAGCCATCATCACAGGACAACACCAGTCAGCCATCATCACATGACAACACCAGTCAGCCATCATCACATGACAACACCAGTCAGCCATCATCACATGACAACACCTGTCAGCCATCATCACATGACAACACCAGTCAGCCATCATCACAGGACAACACCAGTCAGCCACCATCCCGTGACAACAAGGAACCATGCCACTCTCCTGTTGTGTTATCATATTCGACGTATATGAAAGCTGGGCATTCCGATGAGTGCGCAGTCCTCCGATACAGCACCCATTCTAAGGTACCCTAATTATTCCTATGAAGCGTTGGTTACGTCCCCTATCTCGGCCTGGAAAACAGCATAGACGTGCTTCACCACGTTTTACCCCGAGATCACGCAAACGTGTTAGAATAATATATCCGTTCGCTAGTTATTCGTAACATTCGTACTGTTTGGGTGGCAGAACCGGGTTACTTAGGAACACGGACAACCCCCCCCCCCCCCCCTTTCCCCCATTTGTTACTGTGGTAATCAGTAAGAGGTGAACAATACACTGCCAATGTTTCAGTTTTCGACACGCCTGACCTATACGTTGTGAATTTAACTGGTTGTAATATAAAACGAATTTATCCCTTTAACGAATGTTGTTATCCGTGTGGCTACGAGAAATAAAGCTAACAAAGTTCAGTCAGACAAAGATCTTTGTTTAAAGGGCAGGGAAAGAGAAGTAGGAGTAATTACTTCTAGAAATTCTCATCTAGAATGAAATATCAAAGTAAATGGGAATCGTTTACAAAAAGCTGAGGTTTCTGACAAATTAAGAAAATTAGATAGAATGTGTACTTCCAAAAAAAAAAAAAAAAAATTTTGTAATAGCTAAACCAATTCACAAGACGAAGAACTATTTGTGTTTCAATTATTGACGGATTTGAGTATGTCCGGCAGTGAAAAATTATGGGATAACTACAGACGAATAAGGAGAACAGCATGGATACAAAAACCAGAATATCATGGAGATAACAGAAACCAGCTCACACACAACTAATCTGTCTCTGGTAACGCCAGTTGGCATGTTGGGCGCATCGTTAGAGGGAAACAGCTTGACTGCATCGCAACATCTGGACAGAAGGACAACATCGCAATATCTGGACAGAAGGACTACATCGCAATATCTGGACAGAAGGAGTACATCGCAATATCTGGACAGAAGGACTACATCGCAATATCTGGACAGAAGGACTACATCGCAACATCTGGACAGAAGGACTACATCGCAATATCTGGACAGAAGGAGTACATCGCAATATCTGGACAGAAGGAGTACATCGCAACATCTGGACAGAAGGACTACATCGCAACATCTGGACAGAAGGACAACATCGCAACATCTGGACAGAAGGACAACATCGCAACATCTGGACAGAAGGACTACATCGCAATATCTGGACAGAAGGAGTACATCGCAACATCTGGACAGAAGGAGTACATCGCAACATCTGGACAGAAGGACTACGTCGCAATATCTGGACAGAAGGAGTACATCGCAACATCTGGACAGAAGGAGTACATCGCAATATCTGGACAGAAGGAGTACATCGCAACATCTGAACAGAAGGAGTACATCGCAATATGTAGACAGATGGAGTACCTCGCAACATCTGGACTGAAGGACAACATCGCAACATCTGGACAGAAGGAGTACATCGCAATATGTGGACAGATGGAGTACCTCGCAACATCTGGACAGAAGGAGTACATCGCAATATCTGGACAGAAGGAGTACATCGCAATATCTGGACAGAAGGAGTACATCGCAATATCTGGACAGAAGGAGTACATCACAACATCTGGACAGAAGGACTACATCGCAATATCTGGACAGAAGGAGTACATCGCAATATCTGGACAGAAGGAGTACATCGCAACATCTGGACAGAAGGACTACATCGCAACATCTGGACAGAAGGACAACATCGCAACATCTGGACAGAAGGACAACATCGCAACATCTGGACAAAAGGACTACATCGCAATATCTAGACAGAAGGAGTACATCGCAATATCTGGACAGAAGGAGTACATCGCAACATCTGGACAGAAGGAGTACATCGCAACATCTGGACAGAAGGACTACATCGCAACATCTGGACAGAAGGACAACATCGCAACATCTGGACAGAAGGACAACATCGCAACATCTGGACAGAAGGACAACATCGCAACATCTGGACAGAAGGACTACATCGCAATATCTGGACAGAAGGAGTACATCGCAACATCTGGACAGAAGGAGTACATCGCAACATCTGGACAGAAGGACTACGTCGCAATATCTGGACAGAAGGAGTACATCGCAACATCTGGACAGAAGGAGTACATCGCAATATCTGGACAGAAGGAGTACATCGCAACATCTGGACAGAAGGAGTACATCGCAATATGTGGACAGATGGAGTACCTCGCAACATCTGGACAGAAGGACAACATCGCAACATCTGGACAGAAGGAGTACATCGCAATATCTGGACAGAAGGAGTACATCGCAACATCTGGACAGAAGGAGTACATCGCAATATGTGGACAGATGGAGTACCTCGCAACATCTGGACAGAAGGACAACATCGCAACATCTGAACAGAAGGAGTACATCGCAATATCTGGACAGAAGGAGTACATCGCAATATCTGGACAGAAGGAGTACATCGCAACATCTGGACAGAAGGAGTACATCGCAATATGTGGACAGATGGAGTACATCGCAATATCTGGACAGAAGGAGTACATCGCAACATCTGGACAGAAGGACAACATCGCAACATCTGGACAGAAGGACAACATCGCAACATCTGGACAGAAGGACTACATCGCAACATCTGGACAGAAGGAGTACATCGCAATATGTGGACAGAAGGAGTACATCGCAATATCTGGACAGATGGAGTACCTCGCAACATCTGGACAGAAGGACAACATCGCAACATCTGGACAGAAGGACAACATCGCAACATCTGGACAGAAGGAGTACATCGCAATATCTGGACAGATGGAGTACCTCGCAACATCTGGACAGAAGGACAACATCGCAATATCTGGACAGAAGGAGTACCTCGCAACATCTGAACAGAAGGACAACATCGCAACATCTGGACAGAAGGAGTACATCGCAATATCTGGACAGATGGAGTACATCGCAATATCTGGACAGATGGAGTACATCGCAACATCTGGACAGAAGGAGTACATCGCAATATCTGGACAGATGGAGTACATCGCAATATCTGGACAGATGGAGTACATCGCAACATCTGGACAGAAGGAGTACATCGCAACATCTGGACAGAAGGACAACATCGCAACATCTGGACAGAAGGAGTACATCGCAATATCTGGACAGATGGAGTACCTCGCAACATCTGGACAGAAGGACAACATCGCAACATCTGGACAGAAGGACAACATCGCAACATCTGGACAGAAGGAGTACATCGCAATATCTGGACAGAAGGAGTACATCGTAACATCTGGACAGAAGGACTACGTCGCAATATCTGGACAGAAGGAGTACATCGCAACACCTGGCCAGCTTGAATACATCGCAACATCTGGACAGAAGGATTAAATCGCAACATCTGGACAGGACTACATCGCAACATCTGGACAGCTGAACTACATCGCAACATCTGGACAAAATGACTACAACGCAACATCTGGACAGAAGGACAACATCGCAACATCTGGACAGAAGGACTAAATGGCAACATCTGGACAGAAAGACTACATCGCAACATCTGGACAGAAGGACTACATCCCAACATCTTCTTCTTTGTCTTCTCCTTCTTCTTCTTGTTCTTCTTCACAGTAGACTAAAGTAATATCTGTTCTGAGACAAACTAACTTACTATGATGTACAGATGACTGGAAGCGACAAACAAATCATCAAAGAAACGAATCTTTCATTAAAAATGACAGAACTCAGAAATATCCCAGACACAAGAACTAGTGCGGGCATCACATCAAAACTAAGCACAACAACATGGAGAGACAAGCCTGCCTTCATTGAAGCTAATCTAGCCGACAATCTTCTAGAAACACAGGCAGATGACAATTTCCCCCACAGACCTTATCTGATGAAAGTGCGCAATAACGTTCAAAGGGCTTCTCTAGATCGTTTATTTCCCGTAGTTCCTGCGTGTGAGGATACCATCTTTGAGAGAGAATCTGCTAGTTTGTGGGTCACCTGTGAGTTTGATGTGTCAATACCATTGCTGCTGCTGTGGGGGCCTTGCTGCTTGCTGATGGCAGGGATAGTCGAGACGATCAGTTAGTTTCCTTGAAACCGTGGATGTAAAAGTTTCTCATCAGCTGAGTTCTGATTGCTGGCCTCCCGCTAGCAGCTGATGGCTACCGACAGTTCTAATGCTACCAGATCAGCTACCAGCAGTGCGCTACCAGTCTTCAGCTTTCAAACATACGCTACCAGTCTTTAGCTTTCAAACATACGCTACCAGTCTTCAGCTTTCAAACATACGCTACCAGTCTTCAGCTTTCAAACATACGCTACCAGTCCTTCTCTATCACATATTTGCTACCAGTCCTTCTCTATCACATATTTGCTACCAATCCTTTTCTATCACATATTTGCTACCAGTCCTTCTCTATCACATATTTGCTACCAGTCCTTCTCTATCACATATGCACTATCATTCCTTCTCTATCACATATTTGCTACCTGTCCTTCTCTATCACATATTTGCTACCAGTCCTTCTCTATCACATATTTGCTACCAGTCCTTCTCTATCACATATGCACTATCATTCCTTTTCTATCACATATTTGCTACATGTCCTTCTCTATCACATATTTGCTATCAGTCCTTCTCTATCACATATGCACTATCAGTCCTTCTCTATCACATATGCACTATCAGTCCTTCTCCCTCATAAGTGGGCTACCAGTCTTCAGCTATCACATATCCTCTACCAATCTTTCTCTATATTATATCCGCATTCAGTCAACAACTGTCACACATATTCTATTATCACATATCAACTACCAGTCTTTAATTATCACATATCAACTACCAGTCTTTAATTATCACATATCAGCTACCAGTCTTCAATTATCACATATCCACTTCCAGTCTTCAATTATTACATATTAACTACCAGTCTTCAATTATCACATATCAACTACCAGTCTTCACTTATCACATATCAACTACCAGTATTCAAATATCACATATCAACTACCAGTCTTCAATTATCACATATCAACTACCAGTCTTCAATTATCACATATCAACTACCAGTCTTCAGTTATCATATATCAACTACCAGTCTTCAATTATCACATATCCACTTCCAGTCTTCAATTATTACATATCCACTACCAGTCTTCAATTATTACATATCCACTACAAGTCTTCAATTATCACATATCCACTACCAGTCTTCAATTATTACATATCCACTTCCAGTCTTCAATTATCACATATCCACTACCAGTCTTCAATTATTACATATCCACTTCCAGTCTTCAATTATCACATATCCACTACCAGTCTTCAATTATCACATATCCACTTCTAGTCTTCAATTATTACATATCTACTAGCAATATTCAATTATAACATATCAACTACGAGTCTGCAATTATCACATGCAGTGATCTTCAATGTTATTAATTGCTGGCTCGAATGAGTCACCGCATCTTTCCATCACTGACAAGAACGAGAAAACATGGACGCTGGCAGACGTTCAGAAGTTACACGTACTGTTTATTTTCACTCGCTGATGTTGCTGTCAGTAAATGTTTATATACGATTGTATCACTCATCAATGTTCTAAACAGTCAATCATACCTTTGTAACATCGTAGAATATACACACAATTCAAAGAACACAGTAGCTCCCTCCATCCAGAACGACAGTCATTCACAGCTGGCCACCGTTTCCGTCAGCCGCTATTTTATGCCAGGTAGGCATTGGGAAATCACGATATTCAGACGTCAACATTCTTCCGAACTTTTCCACACGTACACCTTTCCCTTGGCCTAAACGAGACTGCCTCAAAAACCTTTTCTTCGCTATTATATAGCCCTCTCATCTGTCCTGTTCTCGAATATTCTGGATAATTTCATTCGCACGAATTGTCGTGTCTGGCCCGTGATAATTCGCATTTCACACGAATCCTGCCAGTCAACCTTCATGGTTCACGTGAACAATCATGTTTCACATAAAACCTGACTTTCAGATGTCTCTCATGAAACTCAAGACATAAATCTCGTGTTATCTCAGTCAGTCAAACATTCGCCTTACATTTATTACTGACGTCATCTATCGGGCATAACTTAATGGGAAGAAAATGACTCACTACATTCTCCCCCACCCCAAAAAAATGTTTTACATTTTCAATCAATCAGGTGTGAACATTTCACTGAACATTGTGATTCTAGACCTCTGTAGTGAATCATTTTCGACAAGTTCATTTCCAACCAAGTTCCCTTTTCCTCATTAGGTTAACAATTCAAACACTCTAAAATGCCATCTGTTGGGTCTTTGCACGACTGTGAATACCTTAATGGGATCCCCACCCCAGGCACTCCCCTTTTAGTGCGGAAGACCAATAATCTGGCT